AAAATATAGGTGCTAACAGCTTTGGTTAAGAACCCTATGTTTGGAAAACAATAACTCAAGTTTTAAAAGTAACACAGTACAAAGCATTTATTAACAGATAGCCTTAAGAAAGATAATGAACTCCAAAGAAGTCCAGAAGCAGATCTCATTAAATGACATCATGGCGTAGTTTAAAAAAAAAGCTCTGGCTCTGGAGTCTGAAAGCTCAAAGATTTTGTCCCTAACTCAATGAGTGAATTCTGACAAACTGGATCGGTGGGTTCAATATTCTCAGCTATGAAATGAGGGCATTGGGTTAGATTAGTGTCATTCAAACTTTTTTGACTGTGAGCCATAGTGAGAAATACATTTTACACTGGGATATGGGTATATAGAAAATACACAAAAAGTTTCAGTAAGCCACACTTTTCCTTAGGTAGAATAAACTTAGTAGGTAGAATAAACTCATATTTTTACAATTTTATTTCATTATTTTAAAAAAATGTTTTAATGGCAACACTTGCTCCACTATCTACAATTTAAATAACACTAGGTGATCTCTAAGCTGTCTTTCACTACTTTGACTTTAATTGTATTTAATGCACTTTAATAGTGACCCTATAGGACAGAGCAGAACTGCCCTATAGGGTTCCAAGGAGCGGCTAGTGGATTCGAACTGCCGACCTTTTGATTAGCAGCCGGAGCTCTTCCTTAACCACTTCGCCACCAGGGCTCTATTTAATGCACTTAGGTTATTTAAAACATTTGCAACATCAACCACAAGGTACTAAATTTTCTGTTCTGTTTTCATAAAATGTTGTTGTTGTTGTTAGGTGCCGTCGAGTTAGTTTTGACTCAGAGCGACCTAGCAACTACTTATTCCTGACAGATACTTACTGTTCAGCTTGAGAAATGAGCTTTAGGTTTCATACACTTCAATCACCTACCCAGTCTGCTTTAGAAGGTGGTGGTGAAAATCAAATGAGATGTTTTACGTGTATATAAACACTCTGAAACTATTGTAACCAAGTGTAAGATACTAGCCAAGTACATAATGAAGTAGCTACTCAAAACAGAGGTGTAAATAAGACAATGTAATGTAACATGTAATATTTTCACTTTACCACAGCCATGCACAGCAGAAATGCCTTTGTGATCTTTAATGTATCTAATGTCCTTGGAGAGGAACCTCAGATCAAAATGGGACAAACATACCAGAGACTTAAGTGAAAAAATAAAACCAAGAAACATCTTAGATGAGTGCCTTTATGAAATCTTGGGGAGTAGAGAAGGTCTTTCTCTGCACACAACAGACCCAGCAACTTTATAATGTTTAAAAAAAAAAAAGACTCCCCCTCCCCCCACATTAAATTTCTGAATGACTGGGTTTTTTTTTTTTTTTTGGGGGGGGGATGTGCACATTAAAAGACTAGAAAAAATTTTGCACAAATGAAAGGTTTTTTTCCTTAAGTTAAAAAAAAATTAAGAAGTTGTTATCAAAATGTAATATTTTTTAAAAACAACCCAGGGAAAAACAGTTTGTGTTGATGAAGGTATGACGCTACATACAGTGTGGGTGGTGTATAAACTGATAGAAACTTTCAAGAAGACACTGTGTTTTCAAATGTAAAACGTACATATGTTATACATGACCTAGAAATTCCAGTAGAAACACATCCCAAAGAAATAAAATGCACAGGCGAAGGTAAAGAAAATGGGAAGACGGACCAGTAGCATAAAATAACGCACTGCTTTAAACAAAAAAAAACAGCATATCCATCTATACCATGGAATACTACTCAGCTATTAAAATGGTGATATAGATCTTTACAAACATGGAAAGATGCCCACAATATACTCGGATTATTATAAAACAACACTTACCATATGATCTCTTTTTGTAAAAAACATATACATACATACATACATATATATATGTTATGCGCATTTCTTTATCTGCTAGAAAGATACATACTGAAAATGTTAACACTGAGCATAGGCGACTGATGAGTTCAGGCCACTGCTAGCCTGTAAGTTAGGTGCCTGTATGGGAATTAGAAAAAGGCGCCCTCTCCTGGCAGGCACACACATTGCTGATCTTGCTTTCAGGAGCATTAGAATGAGGTACTTTCCCTAGGTCGACCCAGTCAAGCGCTAGGGTACACAGCCTGGTGGGTTGAGTATGGATTTCCGCCTCCACCCCCCAATACACTCACATACATCCTAGGAGGGATGCCCTTGTGCAGGTTACAACCTGCAGGTTGGCAAAGGATTATGGATTTTTGTATCTATGTATTTATACCATTTCGTGCTGGATTATTATTTACAATAAACACATAGATTCATTGTTTGTTGATTAGAGTAACACTTATTTCCAATTTTGAAAAAAGGTTTTGCCTTAATCCTTCTAAAACTAATTCCAACTTACTACTTCTAAAAACTCCAATTCATGGAGATCCTATGTGTTAGAGTAGAGCTGCTCCATAAGGTTTTCTTGGCTGCAATCTTTACAGAAGTAGATTGCCAGGTCCTTCTTCTGTGGCACCGCCGGGTGGGTTCAAACCACCAACCTTTATGTTGTTTGCACCACCCAGGGACCTACTACTTCTACACCCCTTATATATTTCCCTATATTTTGATGATTTGTGCACATTACCTATTTACTGGCATATACCCAATGAAATCTCTACCAACATAATATAAAAGTTCGATAAGAAACACTAACTGTAGTTAAGAAATGTCATTCTAAGGCAAATTGATGATACTTAGTACTGGCAATGAGAAGGCACTGAGGAAGGGAGAAGGAAAGGAACGTAGCCCACAGAAATTAATCCCTCTCCTACCACATTCAAAAATTCCTTCAGTAGAACTAGATGGTGCCCGGCTACCACCAATGACCACGATGGCAGGGAACACAACAGAGAGCCCCTGATGGGGTAGGAGAAAAGTGGCGTGCAGCACTCAAATTTTATTAAAAAGACCAGACTTAATGGTCTGAATGAGACTGGAGGGACCCTGGAAGACATGGCCCCTGAACTCTCTGTTGGCCCAGAGCTGAAACCATTCCTGAGGCAAACTCTGAAAGATTAGACTGGACTATGGGACACAAAGTGATATTTGTGAGGCGTGTGCTTCTTAGCTGAAGTAGATACCTGCGGCTAAATGGGCAGCTCCTGTCTGGAGGCGAGATGAGAAGGCAAAGAGGGTCAGGAGCTGGCTGAGTGGACACGGGAAATCCAGGGTGGAAAGCAGGAGTGTGCTGTCACATTACAGGGAGAGCAACTACAGTCACATAGCGATTGTGTGTATCAATTTTTCTATAAGAAACTGACTTCAATAGTAAACTTTCACTTAAAGCACAATAAAAATAAAATAAAGAGATAACATGAGTGGGGAAAAAAGATTCCTTCAGTAGCAAGTGCATTCTAGAGGGAAGCAATGAAATAAAGCTTTATAACTGGTCATCATTTTTCCCCCCATTTAATTCCAGATGCAAGATTTATTTCTTCATCACTCTCCGGGGTTCCCAAAAGAAAACAGTGATTTTAAATAAAAATGATGAGCGATTACCATACAGTTAGGCAAAGCATCTGTAAAATAATACAACCGCTGGACTTGGATTAAAGGAGAACTGCGTTCTTTTCTTGGCTCTGTAGAATATGTAATTTTACACAAAGCAAATCACAACCTCTCTGGGTCTCATTTTTTTCTCATCTCTAAAGTTGGGGGTTGGGCTAAAAACAAAACAAAACAAAACCCTTTAAGGCCCCTTTCCGCTTTTGATAGGACTTTAAGCCTCTTTTTCACCCTGGATGAGCCAATATCAGCAAGTAGCAACAGTTTATTTTCTGAATCATAGCTAATTTACTCTCTTCATGATCCTCAAAAATGTCGTGCCCGAATCGTTCTCACTCTAGAAATTTATTCTCACTCAGAAGAAAGGTGGAGCCTTGGTGGCACAGTGTTTAAGAGCTCGGCTGCTAACCAAAAGGTCGGCAGAAGCTGTCAATACCCACTAACAAAATATTTTCCAAAAGGCCAAAAGAAGTAAAATTAGTTTACTTACATATAAGCAAAAAAGCACGAGTCTTTATTCAAACATTATGTAATCTGTCACAAAAAGACACCCTACAAATGCACTACACTGATAGACGGTTTAAGTATTTCTTTTAAAACAAAGAACCCGCGTATAGAAAAACTGCTAATATATACAACCATCACTCACATGTTTTGAAGGCACAGAAAAAAAAATCGCGCAGTTCAGACAGTATTTACTTTCCCCAAAAGAAGCAAACTGTAAAGAAGAAAACCTCTGTAATCAAAAAGAAATCAGGGAGGAATCAAGCTTTTTAAGGGTCTTTTAACTGTCCAAATTTAAACGCACGCTCGTATACAATGTTCTTCTGTGATTAACTCACCACTACACATTCATGCAACCCACAAAGTCACTCACATTCTTCCGACCGGCAGGGGTGGCAGCGTGGACGAGTCACAAAATAGCGGCGGGAGTGGAAATTTCCTCTCCCGGCCGTGGGGCAGGGTCTGGCTTCCCGGAAGCGCTGGGCGCCTCCGCCAGGGCTTCTCCCGGCCGGCACACTCGGTACAAAGGGGGCCCCGGGGCTCGGCCCCAGCACGCTCCGGGCTCGGCTCCAAGCAGGGGTCCCGGCTTCCGGCGCCGCTCTGGGCTGGAGGCCCGGGCAGCACGTGCGCCCCGCTAACGGCCCGGAGGAAGGAACCGGTGCGGCCCGGCAGGGCTGCCCGCGGGCCCCGCCGCCCCGGGGTGGAGTGGCCGCCCGGCCGGCCCGACCAGAAATGAATGGGCCGCCGGAGGCGCGGGCCGCGCTCCGCCGCCGCCGCTGGTGCTAAGTCGGCGGTGGGGGACGAAAGCCGCTGCGGGGGGCAGAGGCTGTAACGACTCCTGGGCCCGGGCGTGAGGGAGCCGCCTCTCGCCTTTCCCACCCGACCCCGCCCGGCGCCCCCCGGACGCGCCGACCTCAGGCACCCAACCGCCGCCCGCTCACCCCAACTCTTGGCGGTGCGCCCTAGGAACTCTCTGGTGGTCGGGTTATAGATGAAGAGCTTCCACTCGGCCAGGCTCTGGTTGAAGGACTTCTTGTCTTTCTTCGTCATGGTGTGCGTGTGGACGGTGAGGTGGACGCCGGCCGCGGGAGTGGAGGCGGCGAGGAGCGGGGAAGCGCGGCGTCCCGGCTCAGGCGGCGCAGCCCGGCGACTGCGGCGGACAGCAGAACAGCCGAATACACCTCCTCGCTGCGGCGCACACTCAAGCCGACTGCGGCGCGCCGAGCCGGACGGCCGCTCTGGCCGCGGGAGCCTGACGTCTCCGTCGCCGCAGCCAATCCCCGGGCCGCTCGTCCCGCGCCGCCGCCGTCGCCGCCGCCGCTACCACCTCCCGCCAGCGGCCCGGCGCAGCCCCAAGTCGAGAGTGCGCCCCGCCCACTCCCCGGCACCGCCCACGGCTCTGCCGTCCCGGACCGGCTTGGAGGACCCTCGGGGCTCCTTCTCCCTTGGCCGGAGGCAGCACGAATTACATATAGTAACTTTAAAAAGTCACAAAGGCCTAGAAGTAATCAAATTTATGATAATAATCAAGAGCTCGGCGTCCCTGACCCGCCGGTTTCTTAGGAGGAGGACTGGGTTTCCTGGGTGCTCCGGGGAGCACGCAAACAACTCCAGTTTGCGCAAGTCGTCTTCACCAAGAGGGGAGGCCAAGATGTTAACCACCTCCCGTCCCCGAACTGCTTCGCAAAGCGTCTCCAGGCGTTCTTCTTTTGGTTCTATGACGTTACAAAAAGATACTCCGCTGTAGTAGCTCGAGAGAGAATTATAGTGTATAATTCAGCTGCTCAGAGCTGCTTTTAACCCAACCCAACCCATTGCCATCGAGTGGATTCCGACTCAGCGACCCTGTAGGACACAGAACTGCCCCTTAGGGTTTCCAAGGCTGTATGGAAGCCGACTGCTACATCTTTTTACATCTTTCTCCCGCAGAGCGGCTGGTGACATTTTGGTTAGCAGCCAAGCTCTTTAACCACTACCGCTAGGGCTCCCTGGCTCTTTTAAAGGCGTCTGGCTTTAGACAGCAATCTTGGGTTAATGGAAACGTCATTCTAAATATGCCAGTATGAATTATAAAGTATAATTCTTCTCCAGATTCCGTTGAATTTGTCAATTAAATCAATATACATGTTTTCCTGAGGTTCCTGTCAATTAAAAGACCTTCCACTTTTTCTCAGACCCTCAGATTCTTAATCTACAGGAAATTAAAACTCCCGTTAGTGTTAATGCCTGCATAACGTTACCGGCTTTTCATCTTTTTCACTGTCCACGCAAGTTTAAACACAGCCTGCCAGTGCTTTGGAAAGAATAACCCACTGCCCTGAAGTCCCTATAGGACAGAGTAGAATTGTCCCACAGAGTTTCCAAGGCTGTAATCTTTAGCAAGCCGACTGCCACCTCTTTCTCCTGCTGAGCGACTGGTGGGTTCAGACCACCCACATTTCAGTTAGGGGCCAAGCGCTTCACCTCTGTGCCACCAGGGCTCCCTTGGAAAGAATAAAGAAAATCTGCCATTTCCCTTACTTTGCTTATCAAAGCAAGGAATTATGACTTATGTCTCTCACAAACAGACAAGACGTAGGAGAATACATTACCGTACTGTAAAGTGGGTTTTTGTTTTTGTTTTTGTTTTTGTTTTTAAGAAAGCTAAATTTACATTCTACTCCAGAATATGGGAACTCTTCGTTTCTCTGGTATGTGGCCCCTGAGCATTACCTGGAAAAGAAAATACTGAGTGTATTGGGGGATGTCATGGTTTGAATTTTGTCCCCCAAAAAATGTGTGTATCAATTTGGCTGGGCCATGATTCCCAGAATTTGCGGTTGGCCTCCATTTTGTGATTGTAATTTTATGTTAAAGAGGATTAGGGTGGGATTATAACACCACCCTTACCCAGGTCACATCCCTGATCCAATGTAAAGGGAGTTTCCCTAGGGTGTGGCCTGCACCACCTTTTACCTTACAAGAGATAAAAGGAAAGGGAAGCAAGCAGACAACAGGGGACCTCATACCACCAAGAAAGAAACACCAGGAGCAGAGCGCATCCTTTGGACCCGAGCTTCCTGTTCAGAGAAGCTCCTAGTCCAGGGAAAGACTGATGACAACGAGGACCTTCCTCCAGAGCCAACAGAGAAGAGAAAGCCTTCCCCTGGAGCTGACACCCTGAATTTGGACTTCCAGCCTACTAGACTGTGAGAGAATAAACTTTCTCTTTGTTGAAGCCATCCACTTGTGGTATTCCTGTTAGACTAGCACTGGATGACTAAGACAGGGGATATTGACCTACCGAGTATGAGCAGTTGAAAGATTGAATTTAATCACAGTTTTATTCCCTGCAGATTTATTTTACTATACCTAAAGATGTTATTTAGTTACCTGTAAATCGGGTTGCCAGATAAAATACATACAAGATGCCCACTTAAATTTGAATTTCAGATAGACAATAGTTTTTTTTATTATAAGTATCTCGCATGCAATATTTGGAGTTCCTGGGTAGTACAAATGGTTAATATGCACTGCTGCTAACTGAAAGATCGGAGGTTCAAGTCCACACAGGGGCACCTCTTCTCTGAAGAAAGGCCTGGAGATCTACTTCCAAAATATCAGCCGTTGAAAACCCTATGGAGCACAGTTCTACTTTGACGCACAGGGGGTTGCCATGAGTCAAAGTAGACTCCATGGCAATTGTGTGTGTATATGTGTGATTTTAATCTGAAATTCAAATTTAGCTGGATATTCTGTATTTTCATTTGCTAAATCTAGCTACCCTACCTGAGGATACCTGTGAATCCCACACTAATAATAAGAGCAGTCATTTAGAAATAATTATCTAAGTCCCAGGCTCTGTACTATTTGCTTGGTGTGATTTATTTTCTTAATTTTCACAGATACCCTAATTTTGTAAATGAGGAGAGTGAGGTTTAGAGAAATCAAGTAACTTTCCCATGGTCAAAAAGCTATCAGGCAACAGCACAAAGAATGTGACCCAGCTGGAGCTGGGCTCACAAGGACTCACAAGGACATATCAACTGGGTCCTGAGCTATAAAGACAATAGCTAGGACAATCCTGGAAAATATCTTTTAGGGAACCTTTCACATAAACCATTCAAACAGAACACAAAAGACTTTCCAGTCTTGTCTTTTTCTATTAGCATTTAGTGAATAGAAAATTTGATGGACCTATAAAGACCCTCCTGACTGTCCTTACTGAAACCTGTACCAATGATTGTTAAGAAAGATGATTCAAAACGTAGGATCAGCCTTCATCTTAAGTGAGAATAACAGCATAATTAGAAGAGCGTAGTCAATGTCACTTAAATGTGTATGTAAAAAAAATTTTTGAAATGGCGTATCTTTGGCTATGTGTATTTTCACCCAAAAAAAAAAAAAAAAAAAGTTGAGTATTTAGAGGGTTAAAATGTTGTGGGGTTGTTAACCAATGTCATAAAACAGCATGTGTGTTACTGTTACATGAGAAACTATCTGTTCTGTAAGCCTTCACCTGAAGTACAATAAAATACTAAAAAAAAAAAAAAAAACGTAGGATCACAGTTTCTAGCCAATCTGTGAAAAAGTGAAGCTTTCAATGGTTTTGCCCATTTTGTACTGTTAATATATACTGGTCATTGTGTAATATTCCTTGGACTCGGGCAGACATGGCTGTGACAGCATGCTTGTCCATTTTCCCATTCTCGCCTATTCTGTAATATTCCTTGGAATTGGACAGACATGGCTGTGGCAGCATGCTTGTCCGTTTTCCCACTTTTGTCTGTTCTTTAATATTCTCTGGACTCAGGCAGACATGGCTTCTCACTTTTGCCTCTTTGAATATATGCGGAATAAAATTTTCTTTTGCTTTACTAAACTTTGTGATGTTTCTACCCTACAATAAACTCAAATTTGAAATTAATAGACTGTCACAGGAAGGTATCTATAAAATAATCAGGCCTCTTGGACATGTAATACGCCGAAATAATGCATACTACAATTTTTCTATTTACTTCTTTCATGAAGAGTAGTAACTGAAGAAGGACCAGAAAGAATTTCTTTATACAAGGACAGAAGCAGATCTAAGTAAGAATAATGTCTCATACTTTATCATTATTTTGCAGTAGGCCTTGAAAGCATTGGAATCTCAAAAGTTAGCCCTTGGCCTTTTTCTTGATACACCTGTTGTAGGGAAAAAACATCACAAAGTTTAGTAAAGCAAAAAAAAGTCTTATTTGGCATATATTCAAAAAGGCAAAAGTAGGAAAATGGACAAGTATGCTGCCACAGCCATGTCTGCCCCAGTCCAAGGAATGTTACAGGATCATCAGTATATATTAACATTACAATTGGCAAAACCATTGAAAACTTCACCTTTTCACAGATTGGCTAGAAACTGTAATCCTACATTTTGAATCAATTTTGAATCATCTTTCTTAACAATAATTGGTACAGGTTTCAGCAATGACAGTCAGGAGGGTCTTCACTGGTCCAGCAAACATTCTGTTCACTAAATGTTAATAGAAAAAGATAAGAGTGGAAAGTCTTTTGTGTTCTGTTTGAATGGCTTATGTGTAAATTTCCCTAAAAGATATTTTCCAAGATTATCCTATCTATTGTCTTTATACCTCAGGATCCAGTTGATGTGTCCTTGTGAGTCCTAGTGAGCCCAGCTCTGGCTGGGTCACATTCTCTATGCTCAAGGACAGGGAATAATGATTGCAATATTATTTCCTAAATCACACCTCAACTGCTCCTCCCAAATCTGAGGTATCTGATTCCCTAAACAAGGATCCTCCCTGAGAATTGTCATTCTAAACTTGGTCATTTATCTCTGAGAGTCAATTTGAAGGACTAAAAGCTAGAGAGGATGTGTAGTTTCAAATTATGGTTCTTGATATTGTAGTAGGATGAGCATGTTGCTTTGGGGAAAGGCCCCTCGAGGTGGGCTAGTCCAAGCCCGTTGTTTCACAGAAGAGGTAACTGAGGCACAGAGAGACTGAGAAATTCAGTCTACACAGAAAGTTAATGAGATACAAAGAGTGAGGGAGACCAGTGACCTTTGGGCTCCCAGCTAGGCCTTCTTTCTGTTATACTGTGCTGTTTTCTTTTGCTCACCATCAAAAATACCAATGCTTTTTAAAAAAAAAAAAAAAAACTAGTTTAAAACGGACTTTTGAAAACCGGGTAAATCATAATTCTTCGGAAA